TCATTCTAATGAACCTCCACATGTGTTATACTCTTGAAAATGTGCCAACACGTTATGAAAGACTGGATCGTTACTATTGACAAAAAATATAAAATGAATGTTTCTTATAAAGAGAGAAAAAAAAAAATTTTCATTGTAATACTTAATACTGTTATAATGGTTTGAATGTGTGCGTTATCATAGATATAGAAAAATATCATACACATTTTCATGTAGTAATTTAAAATAATGATATAGCGAAGAAGAAAACTGTGTTTTTTGTATTCCTAAAATTATAAAATATCTTCGTATTCTTATCTTAAATAATTTGATGCTAATATTCAATTGGTTATTGTATTCTTAATTGTAGATTCATAATACTAAAAATACTGTATTTTTTTAACAAACATTTGTAAAACAGGCTGTGATAATTAATTGTTACCATCATTGTCAAATGAATATATTTTTCTTTTCGGGATGTTTATGCTAATAGATCTTGTATATTTAGAAAGATAAGTTTCTATATGAAAACATTTTATATACTAAAGTAAATTGCTGATATTTTTCTTTATTTGTGTATTCTTTTGTACTGTATGTACAATTATCCTAACTAATTGTTGAATAATTATGAATACAAATGACAATAAAATTTTATTGAAAATTTAAGTGATATTATCTTTCTTAAACTAGATCTATAAGCTTATTGGATATATATGCTTTCATTTTATATTTTTATTACTACAACAGTATTACAAATTAAATCATTTTATTAAAAACATGAATTTAATATTTAATCGTGTTTTATTTAGGTATCCTTTTATAGTATTTAACATTTTATTAATCACTTTTAATAAATTAACGTTTATATTTAATCCATCTCGAGTGATATAAATGAAAAATTGGATAACAGAAAGATTTGTTTTAGGATCCATCTCAACGGCTCCTCAAGATACAGATTATGTGATCCTTCAACCTAATCCACTTCTGCATTGGGTGCCAGTCAATGATGAGCCCGAAACGTCAGACGACAGTTCATTTGAATCAACAGTTCATCTTCAACGTACAAATTCACAACGTAGTATTACATCTCAACTTAGTACTAGATCAGCTTGTTCATTTGGACGTAAAGATTTAAAAAAAAGTGGAGGCAATTCCACTAGTAGTAGACCTGCATCGCTTTTCGTATCACCTCCACCTTCTCCCAGACCTGCTTTCAGATCTAAATCAACAGACGAAAATTATGTAGTTAATAATATGCCAATGAAATCGACTATCTCTACACCTATCAAGAAACGACGCTCAACGTCAACATTAAATGATGAAATAGTTTTATCAGTCCCTGTTCCAAATTCCAGCTTGGAAAAATTAAGCAAATTGAAAGATCGTCTTATGGGAACATTACCTGTTTCACCTGCTCCAGGAGAAAGCGAAGATGAATCTACGCCGTTAGTTTCCGAATTATCTACTCCAACTCATTCACAATCCGATAGTGTATTTAGACATGACTGCAGTGAGGAAAACAGTAGTTCTATTTCTTCTAATAAAAGTTTACCTCGTGATGGAGAACGATCTATTGATATTGTTGATTATTCTGATACAGTTAGTTTAATGATACGTGAGTCTTCGCATGTGCAATTTTTATCACGTCAAGATGTCGAAGAATGGGGCAATCCAGAAACACCTGTTTGATATCTTCTGCTATATAATTGTTAGTAAGTCTCGATGACATACACTAATATATAATAGAAAAAAAAA